GTTGGTTGGTTGGTTGGTTGGTTGGTTGGTTGGTTGGTTGGTTGGTTGGTTGGTTGGTTGGTTTTGAGACAGGGTTTCTCTGTCCTGAAACTCACTTTGTAGACCAGGCTGACTAGATCCACCTGCCTCTGCCACCATAGTGAAAAAGCCACACACTAAACTCTTCTCGCTTTCTCTCACCCCAGAGACATCTGAGCTACACATTTTCCTGGCTATACTTTGCATTCTGTTTTTGTTCATCAGCTTCTGTGCCACTGCCTGGTTCTGCTGCAAGTACAGGTGAGTGACTTCCTGTTACCCCTGGGTGCAGAAGTCCCTCCATGCCTTCCCAGACTTCCAGGCCCCAGTCTGTGAGTCTGGCCTTCCACCTCACCTCCTCTTCAGCTGCCAGATGGCAAGCTGAGAAAGCATGCCTGACCCAAATGTCACTTGTCTCTTTCTCCAGCAGGAAGAATTTCTTCTGGCCAAATGTGCCAGACCCAGCCCACAGCAGCCTGAGCTCCTGGGTGCCTACCATCATGCCAGAGGTATTCATGAGGCAGAAATGGATATAAATTATGACTGGCAGACAAGGCACAGTCACTAAATGGGTGGCCTTCTGCCCTTTGGAGGAGGGCACACCTGAGCCTCAACCTCCTACCAGAGATGTCCTCCCACACACAACCACAGACACACAAACACATGCACACTGCTTTGGAGAGATGCAGGCTGGAGTCTGACTCTCAAAGCTTCATCACCTCACTGTGCCTGGGTGCGGCAGTGGGTGGGGCAGGTGGGAGTTAGAGGCCACTCATCAGGGATGTACAGGTGCCAATCAAGTATATCCCTTTGCGCTCTGCCACACAGCAGCAAAAGAGGCCCCACAGCTGTCTCATCTCAGGAAAGCACAGTGTAGGGGAGACGTCTGAGCTAAACCAGGCCTCATATTGTATCCCTGTGTTCAGGAGATCTTCCAGCTGCCTAACTTCTGGGACTCCGGCATGCCACCGATCACCAAGATCACTGTACTGGAGGAAGACAAGAAACCGACCCATTGGGATTCCAGTGAAAGCTTTGGGACCAGCAGCCTCCCCGCCCTGGTTCAGGCCTATGTTCTCCAAGGAGATTCAAGAACAATTTCCAACCAGTTCCAGCCCCACTCTGGCACTGGTGACCAGGTCCTTTATGGTCAGGTGCTGGGGAGCCCCACCAGCCCAGACATAGTGCGGTACCTTAGCTGTGACTCCACTCAACCCCTCTTGGGGGCCCCCACACCCAGCCCTAAATCCTATGAAAATGCTTGGTTCCATTCAAGACCCCAGGAGACCTTTGTGCCCCAACCTCCAAGCCAGGAAGATGACTGTGTCTTCGGGCCACTGTTTGAGTTTCCTCTCTTTCAGGGGCTCCAGGTCCACGGAGTTGAAGAATAAGGGAATTTCTAGGACATTTTGGGGCCTTGCATCTTGAAGGCCCTGGCCTGTTTAAAGGAGAAGAACTCTCCGCTGAAAACTGCTGGCCCTGAGAGAAGCAGAAAGGCCCAGTCTGTTTCCATCCCTGGTTCCTAGCACCTGTCCTTCACCCCAACCTCCACAGGTTGCACCCCCAAGTCACCCTCACTCTTCAGGGTCCAGTAGATCCTGTTTCCAGCACAGCATTCACCTTTTGTATTTACTATCATTTCAGTCTGTTAAACTAATTTTAGGTTTTGAGTTGGGGCTGGCGTTTTCAGAAACTCTTGCCAGATGTGGTGGTATCACACACCTATCATCCCAGCACTGGGAGGAAGACGCAGGAACATTGCAAGTTCCAGGCCAGCCTGGGCTACATAGGAGCTCCTGTCTCAAAAATTGAGCAAAAACTAAATAAAAAGTAAATTTTTTTTAAAAAAATTACATTTACTTATTTTGTTGGGGGTGAGGGCTCTCATGCAGAGGTCAGAAGACAACTTGTGAGAATCAGTTTTGTCCTCCAGTGTGTGGGACCTGGGAAGTGAACTCAAGGCTTCATTGTGATCCTATGGACTTTCTATGCTTGCCTCTGCTCTGAATAATGAGACTTATATTTATTTATAAGTGCTAAGCCTTCTCTCCTATCGCCCCACTACACACACACACACACACACACGCACACGCACACGCAGACACACGCACGTGGTGGTGGGAGCTCTTGACTTGTTGTGCCACAGTTTGGCCTCAACTGTACAATCATCCTGTCTCAGTGTCCTACATGTTAGAGTTGAAGAAGCAGCAGGGCTAGCCTCTTCCCAGGCCTCATCACTGTGTTCCCCAGCACTCCAGTTCCTTCTAGGTCTTGCCCCTGTTTCCTGATGATCAGTTTCAAATCTCCATCACTAGAATGGCATCTTTCTGTGGGGGACTAAGCTGTCCTTTCTGAATCTTAGATGCTAGGCCAGAGCTGACCGAAAGAAGGAAGGAATAAATAAACAGATGAATCATTCTGAGAAATATCTTTTCGACTGCCGGGCCCTGAAAAATAAAGGACACTCACCAGGCAGTGGTAGCGAACATCTTTAATCCCAGCACTCAGGAGGCACAGGCAGGTGGATCTCTGAGTTCAAGGCCAGCCTGGTCTACAGAGTGAGTTCCAGGACAGCCAGGGCAGCACAGAGAAACCCTGTCTTGAAAAAGCAAACAAACAACAGTGACAAAATGATCTGCCGAAAGCACCACACAGGTCTGCCTCCCACCCCCTGCAGCCCACGGCAGCAGGAAGTGTGGCCACTCCAGCAACCTGTGCCCCAAGATGGAGGTCAAATAAAGCTGGAGCCAGTGACCCTGGGACCAAATAAAGTCCCTTTCCATTGACTGGACAGAAAAAAAAATCATTATTATTTAGTAAGCACTAAGCCAGAATCTAAGAGTCATGGCAGGCTATCACTAAGAGGTTAATTAAAAAATAAGCTTTACCTTTTTTTTTTTTTTTTTGGTTTGTTTTAAGGACTTCCTTCCTTTTATTTCACGTGTCTGAGCATTTGCCTGCATATGTCTGTGCACCACATGGACACAGTGTCCACAGAGGCCAGAGGAAAACATCTGGTTCTCTGGAACTGTTGTTACAGACAGCTGAGAGCCACCGCTGGGGTGCTGGGAACTGAACACCGGTCTTCTGCAAGATTAGCGAGCACTCCTAAACCAGCCTCCTACCCAGCATTCCTAATCCAGCCTCCTACCCAGCATTCCTAATCCAGCCTCCTACCCAGCCCTATTGTTAGTTATTTGGGTTTTTTTATTTGTTTGGTTGGTGTCATTTGGTTGGTGTCATTTTGTTGTTGTTTTTTTTTTCCCTATGAGGAAGCTCCAATACTGATTAATGTGGTGATTATACATACATTTTCCCAGCAGCAATGAATAAGAATTTCTTTTTCAGCTGTTCAGTAGTGGCACATGCCGCTAATCCCAGCACTCAGAAGGCAAAGGTAGGCCGAGCTCTGAGTTCAAGGCCAGGCTGGTCTACAAAGTGAGTTCCAGGACAGCCAGGACCACAGAGAGAAACCCTGTCTCAAAAAACAAACAAACAGAATAATAATAATAATTTCTTTTCTCCACATTCTCATCAACATGTGCTGTCACTTATGGTCTTGGTGATAGTCATTCTTCCTGGGGTAAGGTGGCATATCAATGCACCTTTAATTAGCATTTACATTGTGGCCAAGTGTGCTGAATTTTTTTTCAAATATCTATTGACAATTTTTATTTCTGCTTTTGAGAACTATCTGGTCAATTCATTTATCCATGAATTGACAGATGACTTGGTATGAGGAGTTTAATTATTGGGGTTCTTTGTATAATATCTGTAATTCTGTTAGCCGACAAATTTTCTCCCATTCTGTAGGCTCCACACAGATGTGTATATCAAAGGTTGAGCTTTATTTTCCATGGTTGCTGTTTTATTTTGTAGACAGAATCTCACTAGTTCTGGCTGGCCTGAAACTTGCTACATAGACCAGGCTAGCCTAAAGCTCACAGAAATCCACCTGTCTCTGCTTCCTAGGGGCTAGGACTAAAGGCATGCACTGAGATGCCCATCCACCTTACTTTTTTCTTTTTAATTTTTCTTAGACTTGCTTATTTTACATATATGAGTGTTTTGATTACATGTATGTATGTATGTATGTATGTGCATCAAGTGAGTGCCTGGAGCCCTCAGAGGTGAGAATAAGGGCATCAGATCCCCCGGAATAGACCTGGAACAGGAGAAGGTTGTCAGCTGTCGTGTGGGTGCTAGGAACCAAACCCAGGTCCTCTGCAAGAGCAACAAGAACCTGGAGCCCACGGGTTTACTAGCTGGTCCATGAGCTCCAGAGATTCATCTGCTCTACCTCCCCGAACCCCTGCCCTGGAACTGTAGACGTTGTGCCTGGTTTTTACATGGCTGCTGGGATCTTAGATTCTCATGTTTACCCAGCAGGCACTTTACCAACTGAACCATCTTCCCTGCCCCACCCCTTTTTGAGACAGGGTCTTACATAGCCCAGGCTGGCCTCAAACCTGCTGTGCAACCACAAATGACCTTGAACAACTTCTAATCCTCTTTCGTTCAATTCCAAAGTCCTGGGGTTGCAGGCCTATGACACTATACCCATTTTTTACGTACTGCTGGAGATCCAACCCAGGACTGTGCATTCTAGACACAGTGTACCAGGGCTCTGCTAACCAAACTACATCCCCAGTTGCCCATGCAAAAACATTAGTCAATTCTTGAGATTACTTCTTATGCTCTTGGAGTCCTTTTTCAGAAAAGCGGTTGCCTATGTCTGTGTCTACTTTCCTTGGGCCCTGGTCTGAGGCCAGCGGCAAAGTTTTCTTTCCTTGGCCCTTTTTCCCTACACCCCCTACTTTTCCTCCCCACCACCTCCGAAGGCAATCCTGAGCCAATCCATTCGCTCAGCCCTCGGCTGCTCTTGTCGATCTCCCACCTCGATTGGTCGAGCCTGAGCCGTCATGGCTGCGCCCGTTTAACCTGGGACCAGCGCTAAGGGGACTGTGACAGGCGCGGGCCTGCGGGGATAGGAGTCACCATGCTGCGGGCCGCGTGGCGCGCGCTGAGCTCCGTTCGTGCCCAGGCAGTGGCACAGGACCTGGTCTCTGCGCTGCGGGGCGGAGGCAGCGCCAGTCTGCCCTCAGTACGCTGCGGCCTGCAACCTCCGAGTGAGCCGCGGAGCAGGGGCCGATCGGGGCTGGGCGCAGATGGAGACCGGAGAAAAGGAGTGGGAAGATGAGAAACAGAGGGCGGTGGCTAGGAAAGGGGTGGCGAAGCGGGAGAGAGGGGAAATGGGGCGCTAGTTGGGTGCAGGTGCACGCAGTCTGTGGTAGAAGGGTCACGCTGGCTTGTTCAGGAAATGAGCCTCAGCTTTTTCTGTTCTGCGTAGGTCTCCTGCATGCCGCTCGTAGCTACGCCATCTGGAAACCAGGTAGGAGGACTTAGGCTGAGACTTGAGGGAGAAGAGAGACCTCCTGGAAGGCTTGGGGTGGACAGTGAGACAGAGTTAGTGTTCAAAGGGGCGGGCCAGAAAAACCTTACATCCACGTCTTGAGAGCCTTGGTGAGCACGAGGAAGCAGGAGGAAGCTTTGGAGTGGTATATTACCGAAAATGAGTGAGTACTTGGCTGGCAACACTGAGACCTTCCTAGAGTGTACCGCTTTTTATCTTCCATTCTGAGATGAAGGGTGTGGTTTCCCATCCCAAGTTAGTATGCCTTAGGGCCCTCTAACCAGCAGATGTTATTTGAGGCAAATTACTTTTTTGAGCCAATGCTGAAATGAGAGTGTCAAAGGATCCATTGAAACATACTGTTACTAGGATTCAATCAGTATGACATATGAAAAGCACCCTTAGCCCTGTGCACAATAAACTGTAAGATACAGTAATATTTCTTGCTGTTTGTGTCCTTTGCATAGTGGCAGAACAGAGTCTGACTAGAGAGAAGAGATAATCTTGGTTGGGCTGGACTTGGTCTCCAAGCTTCAACCTCACTTCCAAGGGACACAGCAAGAATGCGCACACCGAAGCTGAGCTTTTGGTGACCTGTACTGAATACTGACATTTCCCCTAAAACTAGCTGCACTTCCTCTACCTCTTTATTTCATTCCTGTGTGGTCAACCAGCAAGCTTTGTTAGGTGCTTAATCTAGGCCAGACCATAGACCAGACTGGGAAGTGAGTGGTTCAAACAAAGCCACGCTCACTCCTGTCCACAGGAGAACCTATCCCGGTGAGGAATCTGATAACTGGAGAACCAAGAGGGTTTGTGAGAAGTGCAGGCACAGTACATGTCTTGGAAAAGGCCATCTCTTGGCAACATGAAATGTCAAAGCAGGTGCCCACAGGGTGTGCAGAAACAGAAACTGAGCTTTGATGTGCAATTGCCTTCTTGAGACTCTAGGTATTTCTCACAGATTTGAGGATTGTCTGAAAAGAGTGGAGCCTGGGAGAATGAGAGTTAACAGTGGATATTTTCCATCCTTGTATTTGACAGTCCAGACCAAACAGCATGATGAACTACCCCCTTCCACAATCATCAAAGACTACAAGGACGTCATCCCCAGCATGGAAAAGTAAGCACAAAGAAACCTACTTAAGAATACAGGAGTTCCTGGGAGAGTGGGCAGGGAGTGGGAAAAGGGTGAGTTAAAAGACTTGGCTGAGCTGAGCACAGTAATACAGGCCTGTGATTCCAGCACTTGGAGAGGCAGAGGCAGGCGGATCTCTGTGAGTTTGAGTCCAGGCTAGTCTACAAAGCAAGTCCAGGACAGCCAAGGCTACAAAGAGAAATCCTGTCTCGTGGGGAGGAAAAAAACTTGAAGCTTGATTATATAAAGCCCTGCCTGTGGTGAGCCTGGTATGGGCCCTGGGTATGGTGGTCTCAGGCGGGCAGCTGGGGCAGCTGGTGCTCATAGAACTCAGCTGTCCTTTTTCTGGTACTGTGAAGAGCTTGTACCAATAGATGCCAAAGAACTAACATACTTTACTGGTCTTGGTAGAAATCTCTCTTCTCTTGACCTCAGAAAGCCCTATAAGAGAAGAAATTGTGTCCTATTTGTATTGAGTATTCTTAACTGCTCTGTGTTATACATCTAAGAGACAGATCTAGGACTAGAATCCAGAGCTGATGGACACCAAAGCCAGAGTCCTCTGCACAGTGGGAGTTGGGCTGGCTCCAATCTAATTATGCATTCTGGCTGTGTCTGTCTGAGGTGGAGATCCTCCCTTTGCATTCCCTGAGACCAGAGCGTTCAAGCCAGTGGCCCCAGTTGTCTGGCTCTGTCTTCTGCCCAACAAACCCATGTTGTCTTTGGGTCCCTGAGAAATGACTGCCCATTTCCAGAGAGCTGCATTTCTTATAGAAATAGCTGTTGTTTGTGTTTGCTTTTTAAATTTTCATAACAATTTTTATTTATGTGCATGTGTGTCAGCATGTGTATGTGTGCCCATATGTGTGAGTGCCCACAGGGGTCAGAAGAAGGTATTGGATTCCCTGGAGTTAGAATCACAGGAGGTTGTGAGTCAACCAATGTGGGTGCTAGGAATCACACTCTGGCCCTCTGCAAAAACAAGTGCTCTTAATCACTGAGCCATCTTTCTAGCCGCTAACTTTTATTAATCTGTATTTACTATTATTTGTGTATGTATGTGTGCCTAATTAAGGCAGAGGGGCGGGTCTCCTACCAAGCTCACATGTGGAAATTGAAGGACAACTTTGTAGGGTCAGTTCTCCTTTACAGCTTTATGGTTCCTGTGGTCAAGCTTACACAGAAAGCACCTCTATACCTCTGACCAGCCCTATTCTTGACTTGAGAGGGTTGTTTCAATTTTTTAGATTTATTTATTTATATGTTTTGTTCACATGTATGTTTGTGTACCATGTGTGTGCCAGGTGCTTACATTAGTCAGAAGAGGGTGCTGGATCCCCTGAAACTAGAGTTATGGATAGTTATAAGCCACATATAGGTGCTGGAAACATGGGTCCTCTACAAGAGCAACAAGTTCTCTTAACCACTGAGCCCTCTCTCCAGCCCCACCTCCCCCTTTCAAGATAAGCTCTCACACTCTGCCATTCTTCCTTTTAAACAACTGTGAAAATAGCATTTCTGGACAAACTAGACAAGTAGTTAGGAGTGTTGGTGCTCATCCAGAGGACACGAGGTTTTTTCCCAGCATCCATACCAGATAGCTCAAAATCACCTATAACTCAGAGCTCTTGGGAGTTGTACACCCTCTTCTGGCCTCCACAGGCACCTAAGTGCCCATTAATATAATCTACAAACATACAAATTCATTCAGCTCTTAAAGAAAAAAGCCTTTCTTCCCCTTCCCAGTTCTTGTCTCATTGCTCTGTTTTTTGGCAGGGTTGATGATGTTGTGAAAAGAATCTTGTCTTTGGAAATGGCCAACAAGGTGAGTGCCTGTGCCACCCTAAATCTTGGCCTCCCTCAGTCTTCTCCCTGGGAACTCTCTACATCCCTCCCAGGCTGCCCCCGTCAGAACATTTATCCCACTGTCATTCTCTACTCAAACTAAGCACCATGAAGAGTTTTGCTCCTCTCTTGTGCCTCTGACGTCTGATAGTTGGTATGCAGTAAAGATGTTGTCTTAGTCCCCATTTTTTGGTTCTGTTATTGCTGTGTAGAGGCACTGTGACCAAGGGAACTCTTATAAAAGAAAACATTTACTTGGGAGCTTGCCTGCAGTTTCAGAGGTTTAGTCCAGTACCGTCATGGTGGAAGCATGGCAGTGTGCAGACACTGACACAGCAGCTGAGAACTACATCCTGATCCATAGGCAAAGAGAGACACTGGGACTAGACTAGCTTCAACTTTTTAAAATTCAGAGCCCTTCCCAGTGATACACTTCCTCCAACAAGGCCACACCTCCTAATCCTTCTCAAGTAGTGCCATTCCCTGATGATTAAGCATTCAAATAGATGAACCTATAGGGGTCAGTCTTGTTCAAATCACCAGAAATGTGTACATGAATGAGTAAGCAAGTTTCTTTGTTTTGTTGGTTGGTTGGTTTTTTTGTTTGTTTGTTTTGGTTTTGGTTTTTTGAGACAGGGTTTTTCTTTGTAGCCCTGGCTGTCCTGGACTCAGTTTGTAGACCAGGCTGGCCTCAAACACAGAGATCCACCTGCCTCTGCCTCCCAGAGTGCTGGGATCACAGATGCCCACCACTGCGCCCAGCTGAGTAAGCAAGTTTTCAGTTTTCCTTATCTCTAGCTTTGGCCTTGGATCATAGGATATGGATAGCCATGTGGTTGGCCAAGGCATAGTAAATGCAATAAACACCGACCCCAATTTTTCTGGCCTACATGTCGTAACTGTACCCTTGCAGTCAGGAAGGGTAGTCCTTAGAGAACCAGAAACCACAGATTTCCCCAAATTTCTCTCTCCAACAGAAAGAGAAGTTAAAAATCAAGCAAGAACAATTGATGAACAAGACTGTGGAAAACCCTGAAGATACCAGAACCTTGGAAGCTCGAAGTTGGTCCAGGGGCCCTTGGAAGTGGGGGTATAGAGGAGTCTGCCAGCTAATACCTGGCCTGGGGCTCTTGATGTGGCTTAGGAAGAGGAGAGGCATGGTGGACTGGAACTCTGAATTCCACGTTCAGTGATGCTAAAGTCATCAGCTGAGTCCTGCCCACTGCTCTGTTGTGAAATCAAACACATCTCCTCTGAAGTCTGCTTCCTAGTCTGGAGGTGGAGCTAGATGGATGGGGACCAGGCTGAAGTACTATTTCCTACTTTGTGGCAAGACTAATAAGCTAAAGAATATGCACACACACTTGGAAATAAAACTTAGGCTAATAACAGTGACACTCATATCTGTGGAGTGCTGTCATGTCCACCAGCATGGAACATTTCCAGGTTCCTGTTTTGGTTTCCAGCTGGAATTGGCAGTATCCCTCATTAGATATGAGTGAAAGCCTATCTGGTTCATTGGACCACTGCACCAGTGGGGTGATTTGGTGGCCCTGTGCAGTGTCTGCATGTTTTCTTACAGCTTAGACTGCCTCCTCCCTCTTCATGCCTCATTCACTTTTTTAAAAAATTTGTTAATATGTGTGGGTGTTTTGCCTATGTGTATGTCTGTGCACTATGCATGTCTGATGCCAGTAGAAGAGAGAAAAGGGCTTCAGATCCCGTGGAGCTGGAGTTACAGGTATGAGCCACCATGTGCTGAGAATCAAACTTGGCTTCTCTGGAAGAGAAGCCTCTTAAACCTGTGCCATCTCTCCAGTCCTATAAGTAAAAAGTTTTAATTATGAAAAGTTAATAATGGAAGCACAGAAAGAAGAGTTATTTATTATTATTGTATGTGAAAATATATGACGTGTGAGTGGATGTACTTGTGTACCACACAAGGACAGTTTTCAGAAGTCCATTCCTTCCTTCCACCATGGATTCCATGGATTGAACTCAGGTTGTCAGGTTTGTGCCACAGGTACCTTTGCCCACTGAGACACTTTCTGGGTCCTCTTGACAGTTTTAGGATCTCATCTTAATGACTGGCTGGGACCTCTAGTATAATAGTGAATCATTAACCATGATGGCATGCTAGAGTTAACTCCTAATTTTAATGCCCTTGCAAGTGTGTCCAACCTGTGGCCTGCAGGCAGCATGTGCCCCCGGGTAGCTATGAATGCAGCCCAGCTCAGCACAAAATCATTCTTAAAACATAGAGGGGTTTGATTGTTTTATTGTTGTTTTTTAAGGTATTTGTTTCCTCTTAGACCAGTGATTTTCAACCTTCCTAATGCTGCAACCTTTTAATACAGTTCTTCATGTTGTAGTGACCCCCAACCATAAAATTATTTCATTGCTACTTCATAGCTATAATTTTGCTACTATTATAATTGTACTGTAAATATCTGATATACAAGATATCTGATAAGTGACTCCAAAGGGTTGTGACACACAGGTTGAGAAGCACTGTTTTAGACTCTGTCTCACCATGTAGGCCCAGCTGGCCTCAAACTCGCAATATCAATAGCTCACAGAGATCCACCGGCCTGTACCTCTATTATTTTTGTAACTAAATTGCATGGTTCTCAAGCATGAGCTTTACAGATGAAAACATTGTATCACGAGGTCAAAAAATAGAGAAGTACAATTTTGCCATTGAGAGTGCTGATTACCAGCCAGGCAGAGTAGCACACACCCATAAAGGAAGAAGGGGCAGGCCAATTACAAGTTCAGTCTAGGCTACATAGCAAGGTTATGGTCAGACTAAGCGAAGTGTCAACTGCGTTCTCCCACTACACACACACACACACACACACACACACACACACACACACACACACAATACTATTTGCTATGACAGATAATGACCTTTATGGAACTAAGTAATTTCCTTTTCTTGAACTTGCATTTCTAGTAGAAAGATAATCAAGTTTTTTGAGATCTTGCAATTCAGAGTGCTTTGGGATTTAGAAAGAGCTATTGGTGATTGTTGCTCCTTTGGTTCTTAAAACACGAGGTGGGCCTGGGCCCTTCCTTCCTCTGTGCCCAGCTCTCATCCTCTGTGGTTTGTGGTTTCAGTTGTTGCCTTGACTGTCAAGATCCACAATTATGAAGAACATATGCAGAAACATCGAAAGGTAAGGCCTTGGCTTCACTCAACTAAACCACTGAAGCTAGAGCAAGGGGAGTCTGAGAGTAAAGGGCTCTTGGTCCCAAGAAGCTAATGACTGTGACAAGGAGAGGCCACACATCAACTCTAAAAGGAAAATACTTCCCTCTTGCCTCTAGAAGGACAAAGGGAGCCTTACAGGACTTTGCCAACAGTCATCAGTGGTCAAGAAAACGAACTGTAGAGCATGGTCACTGTCTGACACATAGAGGGTGCATAGTAAATATTTTTTAATATTTTTTAAATGCATAGATAAAAGCTTTGTCCTTTCTACTCAAAGTCACTGTGACTTAGGGAAGCTTATTGATTTGAGCCTATGTTCTCGAATCTGTAAAGTGGGAAAACTGCCACAGGATTGCAAGGATTACAAAATTTACTACTAGCATTCGGTATGGTGCATAACACTTCTCTAGGCCATTAGCATCATCTCATAACCTTTAGAACTGTTTCTTTCAAATCTTCCAGAGGAGCAGTCTTGCCATGGAGTGGCATTATTCCTCAAGAGACTGCCTGACACTTGGAATAAGTCAGTTTTGCCAAGGGCCCATATTCTTAAGCACTGTGTCATAGCTCAGCTGAGTAGCACGGGGCCGCCAGAAATAGGAAATTGTCATTAGTTTTGGTCCCTGTGCTGCACAGGCTGACTTTAACCTCTCCAACTTTTCACTACAGCTACCTGAGAGCTAAATTATAGGTTGTGTGCCATCATACCCAGCTGTGTGTGTGTGTGTGTGTGTGTGTGTGTGTGTGTGTGTGTGTGTGTTTTAAATAAGTACGCAGTTGTAAACATAGACTGGTCTAGCCCTGAGTGCTCCTAAGAGCTGGTTGAACATGAGCTTTGGAAGTTACAGTTTTGCTCAATTGTGTAGAATCCTAGCTCCACTGCAAAGGCCCCTCACACAGCAGGACCTGGAACAGAGGATGAGGTACTGTTTTTCTCTGCTCAAGCTGACAGTCTGATCAGTGCTAGAACAGCTGAGCAGATGGTACAGGGAAAGACTGAGATTCAGTGATAGATCAGTCAGTAGACTCAAGACTTGACCTCAGGGTCCACAGTCTAAAGAGCTACTCAAAGTCAGATAAGCCCTCTGAACCTTTATTCTCTTGTCTGTAAGCGATGAACAGTGTGACAGTAGCTCCTGCAGAACTATAGTAATGTTGCATAAGACTGTAGAGATGTTTCAATAAAATGATGACATGACCATATATCATTAATGGTAAACAATGTTAATTCTTACAAAATACTGAAATTACCAGTAAGTATACTGGCTTAGGCCTGTTATCCCAGCAATCAGGAAGCTAAAGAAGGAGAATTGCCATGTGTTTGAGAACAGCCTGGGTTACAGAGTGAGACCTTGTCTCAAAACAACAAATAATTATAGTAATACAGATTCTTCTATAGGACAAAGCCCACAAGCGCCATCTGCTGATGAGCATCGACAAGAGGAAAAAGATGCTCAGAATCCTCCGTCAGACCAATTATGATGTCTTTGAGAAGACGTGCAGGGAGCTGGGGGTGGAATATACCTTACCCCCTCTGCATTTCCACAGGGTCCACCGCCGCTTCTTGGCCAAGAAGGCTCTGTGCATTCGGGTATGAATCAGTATGGTTGGTTGCTTTGGTCGGCCTCCCTGGACTGAGGGGCAAAAAAGAAGGGATAAGTTGTCTGTTTCTGACCAAGGCCTAGAAACACGTGGAGAAAGAATGAGGTTTCCATCAAGATAATTCCCACAGACCTGCTCCAAATCTGAGGTTTTGCATAAAATTACAAAGTCTTTTCCTATCCCCTTTCAACCACCAGGTTTACCAGGAGGTGCAAAAGCTGAAGAAGCAAAAACGGGCCCTAGAAGCTACTGCAAACAAACAACATAACCAGGGTTTGCTGGAGAACCCTTCCCAAGCCTTACCAGAGGTGACCAAAGAAAACTAATAAAGTCTGTTCCACCTTGAAAAATGATAGAAGGTGGACTTTTTTATTTTTAGCCTGAGGAAGAGGAATTTATTTTTCGTTTGGCTCTGGGATCTCAGAGGCAAGAGTCCCTGCCATCACCCCGGAGGATGCAGTCACAGAAACAAATGTCATTTAGTATGTTTTAGAGAGGTGTTGGTATAATATTCTTGTGGAATGTACCCTTGTTCATTCAAATGCTGATTTCTCTGCTGGTTTCAATTCGGACATTGCATTGTGATACTTATTGTAAGCATCACCTGTCTCAAGTTTGTGTAAACATGCCACCATTTGTTGTCAATAAAACAACCAGCCAGCGCTGTGCAATGGGGAGAATAGGGTGGGACATCCTGGTCTGGAGGGGAGGAGAAGGAAGCAGGAGAGTAGGAGAGAGGTTGGCAAGAGAGAACTTGGAACCACAAGTGAACCAGACCTATGTGACTAAAAGCAAGTATAATGGGTGAAATGAATGGTAGGAAACTACGCAGGCTTGGAGGTTTAGGATGGAGAACCTATTGCCCCGCATTGTGCTCTAGGTTAACTAAATAAATCCTAGTGTCTGTGTGGTGATCTGGGTATACAGCTATTTAGGAATAACTGCTGCTTCACTAAAAGATAAGCCAATAGTAAATATGAATCACCCACAATAGAGAGGTGATGCTGCCAGGGCAGGAGGGCTGCTGTAGAAGCTGTCTGCTATCCTGGGCCCTAAAGGATGAAGAGGAGTTTGGTGGGCAGAGAGAAACGGCACCCAGGCAGAAGAAATTGCAAGTTAAAAGGGAAGGAAATGTAGAGGTACGTATTTAAGGACAGTGGGACTCAGCAATTAAATACTGTAACACTGGAGTTAGGGCTTCGGCCTATGAATGAGACTGGGGCATAAGATTCTTCAGTTCTCTGGCAGTGGTGGCGCACATCTTTAATCCCGGCACTTGGAAGGCACAGGTAGGCTCATCTCTATATGTTTGAGGCCAACCTGGTCTGCAGAGCAAGTTCCAGGACAGCCAAGGTTACATAGAGAAACCTTCAGTTCATCATACTTTGGACCTCATTCTGAGAAGGGAAACCCCACAAAAAGAAAGATATGGTAAAGTGCTACCAAAGAGCTGTTGGAATACCCGGGCTGGGTCTGAACCAGAGTGGTTTGGGAGCTGTTAAGGTTCTTGAAGCCCTGGCTGTGTAACTGCCTAGGGATTATGGGCTATAGTATTTGAATGACTGTAATTCCAGCACGTGGGAGAGGCAAAAATACCGTTTTAACACTATCCTTGATTGCATAGCTAGTTTGAAGCCAGTCTTGACTACATGAAACGCTTTGAGATTTTAAATTGCCCAGGAAAGAAATATGAAAGAAAAATTGGCCATGTCAGGATGGGAACGTAATTCCTGAGGGCACAGGAGTAACCTCCAGGAACAATAAAGGCCTTAATGAAATGGGCCTGGAGTAGTCACCTATTTAGAGGTCCTGTGCTGCAGGACCAGGTGCCAATCTTTCAGCGGACCACCAGGTAAGGAGAAAGTCACACTAGTGGATCAGGCCTGCAGGAAAGGCACTGTTTTGAATGCTGCCTTGGACACTTTAGCCACCACCGACCAGCAGGTAACAAAATGCATAACGCCCAACATAAGGGCAGCAGCCAGTGCACTTGATATGGAGAAACGTAGGAATACAGAAATGGAATTTAAGGAACAAATGTAAGAAGATTCTGCAAGAAAAGTAGGTGGCTGGTTATTAATGGGACCCCAAGGAGGTGGATGTGGGAGCTCAAGACTGCTGTGGCTGCAGAGGTGAATGCTTAGCAGAAACACTGAAATCTACAAGAATTATCTGAAAAGGACCAGCCGAACGTGATCCTGGAGCCAACGGTGGAGGAGAAATTTGTACGGGGCCTACTTAAACCGCTAGGAGGAGCGGGCCTGGTGGCTCCACCGATTAGGAAATCCGGTGATGCATCGCTTCCTGGAGGGTTTAGACAGGAAATAGAGATGATATAACAGATGAGGGACTGGTAACTCCAGGGTGCCTTCGTGGCGCTTACAGTGATCTCACTAGTTCCTCTTGAAAGTCCCTGGGCGGTGGATCACAAATCTACCCGGGGCAGCACAGCAGGCGACGGGCCGGGACTTAGCGGGACGGGCAGGCAGCACCCAAGACGCTGGGGCTAACTGGAAGGCTTGTGGCGACAAGGTGGATCCGCTGGAAAACTCAAAAGCAGCGCTCCCCGGAGGCCGAAGTTGTGCGCCTCCCTTCGGACCAATCGCCCAGCGCGGTCTTTGTCACTTAGCCCAATGAGCGCTCTCCTCGGGCCACGTCCCATCAAGCCGCCATATGATTGGTTTGCCTTTCTGCTCTGTGGCGTTGCCCCAACAACCGGGCTATGGGACGCGGAGGGGCCTCCAAGCTGCTACATCCTAAACCTTGGGGCTCTTCCTTCACCTGCCCTGCAAGTTTCCTGCACCATGTCTGTGCGGACTCTACCGCTGCTCTTTTTGAACTTAGGTGGAGAGATGCTTTACGTCCTAGACCAGCGACTGAGGGCCCAGAACATCCCCGGAGACAAGGCCCGCAAAGGTAAGAGGCCCCCGCAGCCTGGTTCCCTCATCACCACACTAAATGTCCCCATCCCGCCCCGCAGCCTAGTTCCCCCACCAAACTCCGCGAAAGCCCCGCTTGCCCGCCTTCGCCCTCACCTACAGCCAAGCCAGCCCCTGGCCCTCTTTCCTGCACTCCCCAATAGCCAGACCAACGCCTCTGCGCACTTCTCTTTGACAGCCGGCTATCTTTCCCAAAAGACGCAGTACCCATGCAGTTGGAAGCTCTTGGGAGTCAAATTAATGCTCTAAAAGAGCATTTCCCCACAGAGAAACCTAGTACATTGGACATACTTACAGAGCTTGAACCCTCAATTTTCAGGTCCCTTAAAATTTGCCCCTTTCCAAAAGTAGTTCCCAGCTGGCAATATATTTTTGTCTAGTAAAACCATCCCTGTTAACCCCCCACGGAACAGATACTGATTCCCCGGTGTCTCTGTCCTCCCACATAAGCTGAAGATAAGTCTTGCCCATTCCACAAGCCATTTCTATAAAGGTAGGGTCCTAAAATAACATAAGAATGAAAGCATACTTCTTTATTTTGAAAGTGTTGGAGGGAAATGCAATTGTGAAAATGTTGGAAAGCTTGTAAAGTGCAAAATTATGCCATATAATTCACAGAGAAACGACCACCCAGAACACTGCCACAGTTTTTCTTCTTAGCAAACAACTTTGTTCACCAAATTTCCTGGTGTTAAGCATGAACTGTTATATTTCTAGGTAGAGGAGTAGAAGTTTAACAGTTGACGTGAACACTGGTGAAAACACTATTTTCTCCCAACAGCTTATGTATAATCAGCTGATGCTAAACACACACACTCAGATAATAGTCATTGTGTCTGGTTGCGTGTAAATTCATGTGTAGACAGACAAGGGAACTCCCTAGATCACTCCCTTCCATTCATTTGGAGCATTGCTACCAGAAGGCTTTACAAAATGCAAATGTGTCTAGGGCCATCTCTCCTAGTACATTGGAGCACTTCCCACAGTCAACTTCCCACTCCTGTCTAAGCGGAGACCCAGTCCTGTGCAGGTCATGCTGTGGCCCTTCCCAGCCTGATTTCCCATCGCTGTTTGATTCACGCTTTGAGTCCAAATCACACCAAAGTGTATGTATATCTTTTTAAAAAAATGTCCGTCATGACGCTGTGCTTGTGGTTCCTACCCCTCCGTTCTTTCCCTCATCTCCGTACCATTGACCGAAGAATCGTTGTTCTTTGGGAGGCCTCCTTCCTTAGAAAAAGGGCCTCGCTGTGCTCCCACAGCACCCTGTCCGTGCCTCCCCTTACCTCACCACCTGGCTGTTTTATACTCAACTGTTGTGTGTGTGTCCCCACTTATTTGACCTATTGATGTTAGTACTTCAGCATCTAGCACTCAGGACCCAGATCGGAATAAATCAGCGCTCACTGAAGGTCTGCTGAACCACTTGGCAGTTTGATATGGCTTTGTGTTCCTTCCTCAGGAGGCTCCTTTGTTTCTTTGCTGCCTGTGTCACATGATTTCACTCAGGCTGATGGCCCCGTGGAGTGACAGACTAGATTTCTCTAGGTAGCCTGCATCTTGAAAGGCGATGTAAATTAGCAATTACGAGTCTGCCCTTTGGAGGAGTACAGGTCTAGATCCCACATGTAGCTAGTTGTGGGATCTTGGGGTGTAACTTCTATAAGCCAGTTTCTCTATAAAATGAGAATTATAATACACACCTGAAAGCAAAGCTGTAAGGATTGAATGAACATGCCTTTCATGTTCACACATTTTTTTTTTTAATTTATGAGACTGACAAGCTGCCTACTACACTAAGAGTGTGACTTGTTTGGTTGGTTGATTGGTTTTGGTTTTTCAAGACAGGGTTTCCCTGTGTGTAGCCCTGGTTGTTCTGGAATCACTCTGTAGACTGGGCTTCTTTTGAACTCACAGAGATCCACCTGCCTCTGTCTCCCAAGTGCTGGGATTAAAGGCATGTGCCACCACAACTGGCTCTACACAATTAGTAGTAGCTGGTGTTGTCTTTCAAGAGGAGTTCTGGGCAAGACTCTGTGAATACAAGGGTATTTGCCTTTAAGAACTGTAGTCCCAGGCTAGAGAAAGGGATCAGTGCAGTTAGGAGCACTTACTGTACTTTCAGAGGATCAGTTTTTCATTTCCAGCATCTACTGGGAAGCTTACAACCACCTGTAATCCAATTCTAAAGAATTCAGCACCCTCCTCTGACCTCCCAGAATATCTGCATTTACATGCACATACCCTGACAGATACACATAATTAAAAATTTTTAAAAATGTAAAAAAACAAGAACTACAGTCCTTAAACCAGATGCTGGGGGCTGAACGAGAGGGCTTCAATGAGAGTTTAAGACCAGCCTGGTCTACCTAGTAAGTTCCAGGCCAGCAAGCACCATATAGTGAGACCCTATCTCAAAAGTACAATATATACATTTTTTTTTTTTTTTCTACAGCAAAGCCCACTATTTTGGTTTTTCTGAGACAGGGTCTCATGTAGCAAAGGCTAGACTAGAACTCTGATTTCCTGGTTCTCATCACCTTAGTGTTGGTATCACAGTTGTATGCCACTATATCCAGGGGAAAAAAAATTTAAGAGTGATAGTCTTAGCTGGGCAGTAGTGGAGCATGCCTTTAATCCCAGCACTTAGGATCTCTGTGACAGCCTAGTCTACAAAGCAAGTTCAGGACAGCCAGGGCTATTATACAGAAAAACTCTATCTCAAAAAACAAACAAGCAAACAAAGAAGTGATAGTCTCTCTGGTTTACCTAAATTCAGTTTTATACAGCTTCAGACACCTTTTCTTTTCTTTTCTTTTTCAAGATTTATTTATTTATTATATATGCAATGTTTTGCCTGCATGTGTGCCTGCACGCCAGAAGAGGGCACCAGATCTCATTATAGAGCGTCATGCGCCACCATGTGGTTGCTGGGAACTGAACTCAGGACCTCTTAGCCAGTGCTCTCTACCTCTGAGCCCTCTCTCCAGCCCCAAGTTTCAGACATCTTTAGCAAGCCATTTTCAACTTTTCATACGTTCACTCATTGCAGAGCGTTTGGCAGATGTCATACCATGCCCTGTTCTGGAGAGAACCGAGCTAAATCCTCCTGTGCAGTGCCTGGAAGGGGCCGTTGATGAGTCCAAGCCATAAATGATTCTAAAGCTCAAGACACATCAAGACAACAATCAAATAGTTTGCTTTTTCTGAAACAGGGTTCACACTGCAGCTGCGGTCCCCACACTCATTGATTAGCACAGATGGCCCTGGAGTTTTCAGCAGCCGCCTTGCCGCAGCCTCCGGAGTGCTGAGATTGTAGGCAGGAGCCACCACTCGTGACTCTTGAAACAGCTGGTCAGTTGTATCAGTCCTTCACTTCAATACCACGCTGCCCACAGCTATTCTATCCCATAGCTAACAAAACCACCCAGTTTTACAAGGAAAACTGAAGCTGCTTTGCCCAGGGTGGCATAGCTGCTGGGAGGAGTAAGTGATCTGAGCACTCCAGGCCTGGAGACTCCAAGGCACCCTCTCCTAACCCATGTGTCCTTAAGTGCTTCGCTGTGCTGCCTCACCTGAAGGGGCTGTACGGGAGCTGTGCGGGGTTTGGTAGATCGGGAGGAAAGGGAAGGCTTTGAAACACACACATACAGAAACGTGACGTCCACATGTGGACGCATAACATACAGGCACCTACTTTCCGAAGCAGTTTGTCAGTGGGGCCTTGTAGAAAAGAGAGAAAACAAAACAGCCTAAAAGTTAAGAGTGGAGAAGAGGGGGCTGGAGAGATGGCTCAGATTAAGAGCACTGGCTGTTCTTCCAGAGGTCCTGAGTTCAGCTCCCAGCAACCTCATGGTGGCTCACAACCATCCATAATGAAATCCGGTGCCTTCTTCTGGAGTGCAGGTGTACATGCAGATGGAACATTGAATATATAACAAAAGTCAGCAAGGCTACAGGAGCTAGTGCCAGGGCCATCATGACAGGTGCCTATACACAGGCCTATAAAAACCCAGATGTGGTAAATTAGTCCTCAGGCATGCTTTGAAGGAAATCGTATTTCTTGGAGCTGTTTCCATTATCTTACACAGCTAATTGGTCTCCTGGAGGCCATCCCTGTTCCCAAAAGGCCAGTGCAGACATTGCTGTTTCTCCCACAGTGCAGCCACAGTTTAGTGTTGAGCAGAAGGGGCGTGTGCTCTTAGTGGCATGGCTTGTGAGAGTTGCATACTAAATGTCCCACGTTTTAAGCAATAGGAGCAGCAATAAAATCTGCCTATGCCTCACTCCTGTCCTCATAAAAGCCCTACACTAAAACCCTGTTACATTTTGTTTATCTTCTTCATTACAGGAGAGAAAACTGAGACTCATGAGCCCTCGACTGCAAAGTGGGCTTTTGTTTTTGTTTTGTTTGTTTGCTTGTTGGTGTTGTTGTTTTATTGTGTTTTTCTAAGACTGTTTAGTATGGAAGGACTAAATAGCAGTGGAGCTCTGTTCTGGTTTTTCTGGTTCACATGTAATAGCCAGCCCCGGAACCCCTGGGCCTACATCCCATGCAAAAATATAACGGAAGCTGAATTGTCCCAAACAAGTCGTCTGGAGAGTAAAAGGCAGAGCTTGGGATACCTAGCCTGGCTCTTTAAAGGGTGAAGCGGGGAGGAAACAGCAGCTCTCTAGAGCCCTCTGCTGGCGGTGGGTGCCATTGCTGACCGGAGGGACAAGGCAGTGTTTTCCAGTTCTGTTTTATCCCCCACAGAGAAGAGCATCACTGTCCCCAGACACACCTTCCAGAGGATGAAAGCTCCCCACCTCTAAATAGCTGCAAGCCTCTGATTCTAATACCACAGAGAACAGAAGATACTGATACAATATGCCCAGAAAGAAATAACTGCTTTAGGAAGTCCGGACAGGGCCTGCTTCTCTACTGCACGCTGTACACAGCCCATGACTTTATCACGTCCCCCGCCCCCCCCCCCGCCCCCCGGGCCTGGGAACTGGACCTCGAGCCTCCTGCACACCAGGCAAGCGCCCTGCCATTCAGCTACCTCTCCAGCCCTGCTGGTTTAGAGACATGGTCTCACTAAGTTGCCTTGAATTCACTCTGCAGATCCAGACAGATCTTAAACTATTGATCCCGCCTCAGCCTCCTGAGTAGCTAGAATTCCAGTCTTGTGCCACCAGGCCCAGCTAAGCCTGTGACTCTTGAGAGAGAAAGATGGTGATTTTCAGTGGTACACACTAGTCTAAAAAGAGCTGTTTGTATTCCATGCTGAGGCTATGCCAGTGTGCTAAGAACATGCATAATTTCAGTGTACTTCAGAAATCATTTCCAAACAATATAGTGGCAAGTGTTTCCCAAAATGCCATTAGCTGTGAAATATTTTCCACATGTGGATATGTGTAGAACTCTTTATTGGATGGGCTGGGAAAATGGAAGTGGAGGGAGGCTATAGAGTGAAATTTTCCTACCAAAGAAATGAGAAAGGGAAAAGGCTGATTTTCAGGGCTTAGGGGATAGATCGGTCAGTGGTACAACACTTGCCTCCTAAAATGCACAGGGCCCCAGGTGTAGGGGGAAATCGGACTGTATAAAAAGGAACTACTCTTTCCGTCCGTTCTTGGAGTTATTCTTCATTGGGGAGCTAGTGGTAAAAGCCTGCTTTCATTTTTTTTTTTTTTTTTTCTTTTGAGACAGTGTCTCACTATGTAGACCAGGCTGGCCTGGAGCTCACAGAGATCTGTCTACGTCTGCCTCCTGAGTACTGGGTTAAAGATATTGGCTAGCACCCCGACCTGGCCCAATGTATGTTCTTATAGCGTTGGAGAACATGACTTCTGGAGCCTTCTAAGAGGAGCCCCGAGGTAGCAGTGCTCTTGAGCTTCCTCTTGCCCTGTTTTTTTCACTAGGCATTTATCCAGTTTCCAATTGAAGGTGGAGCATGCACATAAGACATTAAATTCAAATATAGGAAATAAAATTCGGTAGGCCAGATAACTAGATACAGAGTTTGTAAAGCCTCAGTGCGACTAATGTTCTTGCCTCATGAACCGGTCTTTTCTTTTTGTATGCTTCATATAGATGAATGGACAGAGGTGGACAGAAAACGAGGTATGCTATTTCTGAGCTGCATGCGTTCAGTCTGCGTTCACAGGTTCACTCGGTCGGTCGGTTAGTGGATTCTTTTAAAGCAAGACCACTTTAAGTATTTCTAGGGAAGAAATAGGATTGAGTTTCTTTAGCTGAGACATTGGGTTTGCCTTGGGATGTTGTGCTCCAAAGGCATAAACAAATTTGTGTAAGCTGAAAACTCAGCAGACTCCGGCAGAAGGACCACACTGCATCTGAAGGACTCCCCGCCCCACCCCCATCTCTCCACCCCCCTCTTTGTTGTTGTCATTGTTCCAAGCCTTCAGGGACAGCTGGGGCAGAAGCTCCACTCCTGGGAACTGCAGCAGTCCTAAAGTATCCTTCCGGTCCTGTGGTAGAAGCAAGTTTGCTTCAGTGGGAGTGGCCCTCCCCGGCTGTTGCCCTTAGCACACACAGAGATGACGGTGGAGCAGCTGAAGTGATGAAGCATGTGGCTGCATGGCTGCCAGGAGAGTGGGCAGAAGGCATGGGATCATGCATGCACTGTCGCCTTCCGTTAAATCTTATTTCCCTCTCAGCCACAGCGAGCTGCAGGTCACAACAAGACCGCAGCTTCTCTCAGTCTTTATATGTCACGGGTGCCCGCCTTCCCTTGAAGGGAATGGTTTATGCCTATCATCGGCCATCCCCAGTATTTTTAAATCTCTTATCACACCAGATATGCCAGTTCTGTATATTTATCATGCCTAAAAGCAAAATGAGGGTAAATATGATCAAGGTACATTATGTACATGTGTGAAATGGCATAAAAAACCCATTGTTATGCGTAATTAATATATGCTAACAAAAACATTTTTTACTTTTTGTGCATAAAATATATGTAAGAGAAAATATAAAAGGCCCACTTAAAACCATACTTATGATTTTGACTTTAAAGGTGTAGGTTTGTTTTCTTTATTTTTGAAAGTTTAGCATAATTATATAATGTTTTTGACTTTGTAAATATTTTTCTAATTGTAATAGAAATTTACTTAGAATGTGATATTATAGAAAACAAAAACTATTATAAAATAAATTTAAAACAAATAATGCCAGGATAGGGAATGAAAAAGAATTCAGAACAGTATAATCAGAGACAAATAAGGTAAAGTATCTATTTAGTAAATTTTGATAAATTGAACTAAGCATGATATATTAATGGATTACAACATTCTGAATCCATATGTTATATATCATATTTATCAGGGTATGATAGCTCACACCTTTAATCTTACCAATTAGGGGGCAGAGGCAGGCAGATCTCTATGGGTTTGAGGCCAACCTGGTTCTAGGCCAATCAAGGCTACACAGTGAGTTGCTATCTCTGAAGGAAAAAAAAAATATATATATATATATATATATTCCATTGATGCACTTAGTGGGTAAAGGCACTTGCTACCAAAGCTGACAACCTGAGTCTTATCTCTGGGACCCCCATGGTAGAAGAGAACTAACCCCAGCACTGCCCTTTGTCCTCTGGTCTCTGTATAAACATACACGTGCTCACATACACATTCACGCACGAAATGAATAATTAGAAATAATTGGGCTGAATGTGGTGGTGTACTTTATAGATTTGTTTTTTATGTGTATGGGTGTTTTTCCTGCATGAGTGTATGTGAACTGTATCTATGCCTGGTGACCACAGAGGTTAGAAAATTTGATCCTCTGGAACTGGAGTAATGGATGGCTGTGAGCCACCATGTAAGTGCTAAGAACTGAACCTTTGTCCTCTGTAAGAACAGCCAGTGCTCTTCACTTTTGAAGCACCACTCCCTTAACCCTAGTATTCAGGAGGCAGAGGCAGGTAGATGTTTGAGAGTTCAAAACCTACCTGGTCTACATAGCACTCCAGATTAGCCAGAGCTACATACTCTGTCTCAGATAAATAATGCATGATGATCATGATGATGATGATGATGATGATGATGATGATGATGATGATGATGATGGAGTGATCAGGGCTAAAATCAATCAATTAGAAACAAATAAAACAATTCAAAGAATCAATGAAACCAAGAGCTGCTTCTTTGAGAAAATCAACAAGATAGACAAGCCCTTAGCCAAACTAACTAAAAGATGGAGAGAAACTATCCAGATAAGCAAAATCAGAAATAAAAAGGGGGACATAACTACAGACACTGAGGAAATCTAAACAATCATTAGGCCATACTACAAAAGCCTATATGCCACAAAAATTGAAAATCTAAAGGAAATGGACAATTTTCTTGATAGATTCCATCTACCTAAATTAAGTCAAGATCAGGTAGAAAGATTGAATAGTCCCATATCACCCAAAGAAATAGAAGCAGTCATCAAAAGTCTCCCCTCCAAAAAAAGCCCAGGGCCAGATGGCTTCAGCTCAATATTCTACCAGACCTTCATAGAAGAGCTAACTCCAATTCTCTTCAGACTATTTCACAAAATAGAAACAGAAGGAACATTACCAAACTCAATCTATGAAGCCGCAGTCACCTTGATATCTAAACCACACAAAGACCAAACAAAAAAAAGAGAGCTTCAGACCTATCTTTCTTATGAACATTGATGCAAAAATACTCAATAAAGTACTTGCAAACCGAATCCAAGAACACATAAAAGATATCATCCACCATGACCAAGTAGGCTTCATCCTAGGCATGCAAGGGTGGTTCAATATATGGAAATACATCAATGTAATCTACCATATAAACAAACTGAAGGAGAAAAACCACATAATCATCTCCTTAGATGCGGAAAAAGCATTCAACAAAATCCAATACCCATTCATGTTTAAAGTCTTAGAAAGATCAGGGATACAAGGCACATACCTAAACATAGTAAAGGCAATACACAGCAAGCCTATAGCTAACATCAAACTCAATGGAGAGAAACTTAAATCAATCCCACTGAAATCAGGAACAAGGCAAGGCTGACCACTCTCTCCATATCTCTTCAACATAGTACTTGAAGTCCTAGCTAGAGCAATAAGACAACTAAAGGAGATCAAGAGGATACAAATCAGAAAGGAAGAAGTCAAAGTATCACTGTTTGCAGATGATATGATAGTATACATGAGTGACCCCCAAAATTCAACCTTCAGCTGGTAAACACCTTCAACAAAGTGGCTGGCTACAAAATCAAATCAAAAAATCAGAAGCCCTCCTTGTATACCAAAGACAAAAGGGCCAAGAAAGAAATTAGGGAAACAACACTTTTCACAATAGCCACTAATAACATAAATTACCTTGGTGTGACTCTAACAAAGCAGGTGAAAGACCTGTTTGAGAAAAACTTCAAGTCTCTGAATAAAGAAATTGAAGAAGATCTCAGAAGATGGAAAGATCTCTCGTGCTCATGGATTGGTAGGATTAACATAGTGAAAATGGCCATTCTGCCAAAAGCAATCTACAGATTCAATGCAATTCCCATCAAATTACCAACACAATTCTTTACAGACCTTGAAAGAAAAATTCTCGACTTCATATGAAGAAACAAAAAACCCAGAGTTTCCAAAACAATTCTGTACAGCAGATCATCTGGAGGTATCTCCATCCCTGATCTCAAGCTTTACTACAGAGCAATAGTAATAAAAACTGCATGGTATTGGCATAGAAACAGAATAGTAGGTCAATGGGACCGAATAGAAGACCCAGAAATAAATCCACACACCTATGGATACTTGATTTTTGACAAAAAAGGCAAAACCATTCAATGGGAAAAAAAAAAAAAGACAGCATCTTCAACAAATGGTGCTAGTCTAACTGGATGTCTACATGCAGAAAAATTAAAATAGATCCATATTTATCAACCTGCACAAAACTAAAGTCCAAGTGGATCAAAGACCTCAACGTAAAACCAGACACATTAAATCGGTTAGAATAAAAAGTGGGGAAGACCCTAGAACTCATTGGCACAAGAGACAACTTCCTGAACAAAACACCAACCCAACAGCACAGGCTCTAAGAACAACCATAAATAAATGGGACCTCATGAAACTGAAAAGCTTCTATAAAGCAAAAGACACTGTTGTCAAAACAAAACAACAGCCTACAGACTGGGAAAGGATCTTTACCAACACTATATCTGACAGAGGGCTAATATCCAATATATATAAAGAACTCAAGAAGTTAAAAAGCAACAAATCAAGTAATCCAATTAAAAAATGGGGTATGGAGCTAAACAGAGAATTCCCTGTAGAGGGTTGTAGAATGGCAGAAAAACACTTAAAAGAAATGCTCAACGTCCTTAGCCATCAGGGAGATGCAAATTAAAACGACCCTGAGATTTCACCTTACACCCATCAGAATGGCTAAGATCAAAAACTCAAGTGACAACACATGCTGGAGGGGTTGTGCAGAAAGGGGAACCCTCCTCCATTGCTGGTGGGAATGTAAACTTGTACAACCACTTTGGAAATCAATCTGGCACTATCTCAGATAATTAGGAATAGCGCTTCCTCAAGATCCAGCTATACCACTCCTAGGCATATATCCAAAAGAAGCTCAAGTACACAACAAGGACGTTTGTTCAACCATGTTTGTAGCAGCTTTATTTGTAATAGCCAGAACCTGGAAACAATCCAGATGTCCCTCCAATGGAGGAATGGATACATAAATTGTGGTACCATGAAATTTGCAGGCAAATGGTGGGACCTAGAAAAGATCATCCTGAGTGAGGTATCCCAGAAGCAGAAAGACACACATGGTATATACTCACTTATAAGTGGATACTAGACCTATAAGATAGGATAAACATATTAAAATCTGTACACCTAAAGGAGCTAAACAAGAAGGAGGACCCAGAGTTAGAAGATCAATCCTTACTTAGGAAGACAAAAAGGATGGACATTGGAAGTAGGAGAAAATGAGAAGCAGGATAGGGGCCTACCATAGAGGGACTCTAAAAGACTCTACATAGCAGTATATCAAAGCAGATGCTGAGACTCATGGCCAAACTTTGGGCAGAGTGCAGGGAATCATATGAAAGAAGAGAGAGTAAGA